GTGCTCTTCCGATCTCCCCAAAACCCCAAAACCCCAAAACCCCATAATGTTAAATTAATGAAATTCAAGTAGGAATGGGTGTGAGCGATAACTTATTAAATTTAATAATTTTAAATTTTAATTATTCTCAAATGATGAAAGGTCCGAAAAAGGGTCTCAAGGTAACACTTTTGACTATGTAATTAAATCAATTTCTAGTTTGGGGCCAAGAAAAATAATCTTGATGATTTCATCGAATCTGAATTTACCAAGATCAATAAGAATTAAGCACCTTAGGCTGAAGATGGGGAGTTTGGCAGTGGAAATGATGATGGATCAAATCAATATGGAGGAGCTCCAGGAGGCGGTTTTAATTCTGGATAGAATAGTAATTATGAAAGAAGTCCTAATGTCGGCTACTCTGGAGCTGTGCCAAGTTCAGGCATCACTAGTTCGTCTGGAGCAAAGAAAAATCCTTTAGCTTTTAAACCATTTGATGTGAAAAAGAAGCTAGGAGCAGCAAGTGGAAACAAGCCATTATTCGGTTCTGTTTAGAATAACAATAATCAACTGAACATAGACGAATCAGGGGCAATAGAAGATAGCTCATCTGGTAATGATCGCGGGTATACTCCTTCAAGCAATTTAAAGAATTTAGGAGCAATAAAGCAGTAAATAGATATATAGGGTGGCAGTAACAATACACAGAGCAATACATCAATACTTTCAAAACCCCAATTGAATTCAGGTGGCAAAGCTACTCTCCCCTCGAGCGTTGTGAAAACATATAAAATTAAGCCAAGGCAGAAATTCATGATGGATGAGCCTGATGTGAAAGCAAGCGGTTTAAACTATGCTAAATTAAATGTTGAAGAAGACGTAGTTGAAAGTTTAAAGGATGATGATTATAATAGATAAATGAACAGACCAGGACAGATGAAATTAGGAGGATTACCACCTACTTCTCTTGGAACGAAACCTAAGATTATTCCAAGTACTAACACAAAGTAACTTGGCCCTCAATTTATGAGAGACAAGCTAAAGAATCAAGATAACTCTAGAACTGAGAAACGCCCACCTTCAGCTTAGAAAGACATCAAATAAAAGTCAAATTAGGGCACTGATGATGATGACTATAGCGATGGTGGTTTTGAAGACAATGCTGACGATGGTAAGGATGAAGATCAACTTGAGAAGTTAAGAAAAGCTATGGATCGTGAAAACAAAAGGGCTATTAAGCATATAGAGTAGAAACCTCAACTATTGTAATAGAACCCAGGAGGAAACTAAGGTGGGCCAAAAGCACCTTCTGGGAATAACGCTATGCAAAATTTAGATTCTTTTGCCAAAAATCGTGGACTAATTGTTGGTGAAAAGGTCGATCACTTAGCTGCTAACTAATAACTTATCAGAGCAGAGGAACTTAGAGAGCTTGTGGGCTTAGGATAGGAAGAATTTTTCAATATGTTTGAGATGGTGCCTTAGACACCTTAGGACGTCTATTTCTCAAAATTAACAACTGGTGTCATTAAAACTTCATGCATTTCAACTGCTGATGAAAATATTGAGAGAGATATATAAACTGAGGACTTAGGGGAGGAAAGCAAGTTCAATCAGGCTCCAGAAGACATGATGACTAACTATAACAAAAATAAGACTACATATCAGCGCAGGAAGAAGAAGGAAAATGAGGCTTTGTAGCTTGAGAAGTTCTTGCAGAGAGCTGGTCCAGTAATGGAAACTGTGCTAGATGAAAATGAGTGGCTATCATTTTTAGGAAACAGGGAACAAGCTTCAAAGAGAAACGCTGTCGAGTTGAAGTAAAACTTGAAATTCCCAATGGAATTACTCATGCTATTTATTTAAAACTTCAAGGAACCTCAGATCCAAAAGATCTCATGTGTTCACATGTTCGAGTCATCTCCTCAAGCGAAATGTGCAGTTTCTTATGTAATAAAACTCCATAATGGAGATATGGTTTATCTAACCATTGTGTATTCAGTTCTTGCAAATACAGCTATTAGGATCCTTAGAAGCGAATCAGAAGTCACCTAAATGTGTACTCCAGGTGATGACAGTATCTTAATTCTAGGGACAGTCCATGGTTCATTACTTCTATATGATTTGAAGGAATTCGATCTCAGCAATAATGCACGCAGTAATGAGTTGAACTTTGATGCTTTGATGAGTTTGAAGGAGGAAGACCCTGATTCTCAATCAGAGTTCGATGAGCACTAAAATAAAATGCAATAGTTGAGAAACCGCTACAATATTTAATGGCCTACTTTTTCAACAGATGGACTGCCTAATTATATGCACTTTGCACCAGTTAAGAGACTTCTGTTTGTCTCTAAATTCGGTGGGGGTTCAGCATAAATAGGAGTCATAGATGAACTTTTGACTTTAAGTACTTGGAGTCTAATTGAAACTTAGAGTGCAGTCCTTGGAGATAGAGCTTTCAATGAATTTGACTTAAATATGAGCATGGGTGGAAGATTCAAACTACTTGAAAACTACTCAGAAAACCTAATGATTATGCCTGAAGTCATGGGGCATCATGGAAATATTCATGATGTAAGCTAGAGTCTCGAACTTGAGTTTGACAATACTGATCCAAACACTTTTTATTTCTCAGTTATAGAAGGACTGTTTAAATTTAACAGAAGACAGTCTCCAATCCCAACTAGATTGGATACTGAAGGTCTTGGTGCACCAACTGCTTTATCAATGTCTGATAAGGGTTACTTGCTAGTAGGATTCACTTGTGGATCAATAGGGTAAGTCCAATTAATTCATCAACTCTAATTATAGAATGTATCATGAGAACTATACTTCCCCAATTACCATATGGTATCATGCCTGCAACTAAGCTATTACCCAGATTAAATGGTGTTATCTGTACTTCTAGGATGACCAGGCAGGATTATCAGCATCTCCAGAAAAAAGACCAAAGCAGTAAGCAGATGGAGTTTCAGAGTTGTCAAATGTCAAGTTCGCTACTCGTTTGTGTGAATTCTTCGCGATTGACCAAGCAGAAGATTTTTATATCTGGAACATGCAGAAGTCTCTAAATAAATCTGCACATGTCATACACTTCAATGAAAAGCATAGCAGCTAAACATCATAGAAAATATTCAGAATATCGTAAGTCATTTCCATGCTTTTCACATTTCTTTTTTAGAATGACGTGTCCAGATCAATCCTTCTTCACAGCTTTCGCTCTCTCAGACTTCTCTGTTAACATGTACCTAATGAACTTCAAAAAAGGATCTTAAATCACTAAAGAAAAGCTGACTCTCGAGAACAAGAAATCCTACAAAATTATTTCTACTTTACCCCTAAACGCCTAGTCGACAACTCTGATAAGCCAGCAGTAATGACTCGAGGTAATCTCTAGTGATTGCTAAACAAATATACGTGGAATTTGTGAGATATATAAATTACGTAATTTAAGGATAAATCCCTAAATCAACTCAAATGCTTTGGCACTTTCATTACGGGGTTTTGGGGTTTTGGGGTAATCCTAGATCGACATT